ACACACACACACACACACACACACACAGTGCCTTGGCTTTGTAACCAAGGGGGGTTTTACGAGGGGAGCTTGTGTAAACTATTGTGTATAACAGTTTGTAACAGCCTGGTCCTGACCAAGCCGTCCCTCGTTAGCGAGTAAAAGACTGGTTGAAGATGTTCTGTCTTGTTTTCGTTCTTCATGAGGAATAAGTCTCTAAACTAGCGGGGCATGTAGAAACACAGACTCAACAGATATCTTTAAAACAAAAGCAGCACAAACAAAACTTTTTGCAGCACAAACCAGCACAAATGTCAATTTTGTTAGATTTGAAGAAGATGGGGGCAGGGCAACTTCACTCACATAGTCTTTTGATTATTCTAGACCCTGTATGTGAAGAGCAGGATTTTGAATTCAATTATGGATTTAACAGGGAGCCAATGAAGGGAAGCCAATATAAGAAATGTGCTCTCTCTTTCTAGTCCCTGTCAGTGCTCTTGTGCAGCATTTTGGATTAACTGAAGCCTTTTCAGGGAGTTTTTGGGACTTCCTGATAATAATGAATTACAGTCGTCCAGCCTAGAAGTAATAAATTCATTAACTAGTTTTTCAGCGTCACTCTGAGACAGGATATTTTCTCATTTTAGAGATATTGTGGAAATGGAAGAAAGCAGACCTATTTGTTCAGCATGTACATTGAAGGACGTATCCTGGTCAAACAGGATTCCTCACAGGGTTACTGGAAGCCAAGGAATAACCAAACATCTGACACAAGTCGTCTCCACCTGCTACGGCGGCTGAGATCTTTTGGGGTAAACAGGACACTCCTAAAGACATTTTACGACACTGTGGTGGCGTCGGCTGTTTTCTATGCTGTGGTCTGCTGGAGTGGTGGAACGGCAGAGAGGGACAAGGGGAAACTCAACAAATTGGTCAGGAGGGCCAGCTCTGTCCTGGACTGTCTGTTGAGGTCCATCGAGCAGGTTGGGGAGGAGAGGATGTTGTCTAAGCTAACAACATCCATCATGGACAGCCCCTCCAAACCCCCTGCATGAGACTGTACGAGCACTGAGCAGCTCGTTCAGCAAGTAGACTTTTACACCCACAGTGTAGGAAGGAGCGCTACCGCAGGTCATTCTTACCAGCAGCTGTCAGACTCTAATAATGCAGCTTAACATTCTTTTGGTCATCTTACTCACCCGCTTGTTTGTTTACTGTACATTTTATTAATAGCTCTGTAGATTTTATACATAACCCTGTACATTTCATACGTCACTTTAATTAAAGGTCAGAAAATAGAGAAAGTACAATCATATAAATATCTTGGGACCATAATTAATGAAAAACTGAACTCCACATTGACCAAAACATTTTAACTTTGTTTTATCTTTTTTATCCTTTTGTGGCATGGTTTGGTCAGACCTCTGTCACAGAGAAAAGCTCACTGAATCAGAGAGTGAGACGGTCCAGTCGTCTGATAGGTGAGCCACAGTCTTGTTTAGCCTCCCTGTACTCTAAACAGGTACAGAGGATGGCTTTATCAATCCTTAAAAATGGTTCCCATCCTCTAAGGGGTGAATTTCAGCTTCTTTCCTCAGGACGGAGGTTTCTGTTTCCAAGATGCAGGACAAAGCGTTATAAAAATAGCTTTGTCCCTATTGCTGTTACTGAATTAAATAAGAACTGTTTTTGTTTTTGATTCGAAACATTAAATTACTATATATGTGATACAGTGAGGTTTATATCTTTATTAGGTATGTGTGCTTTTGAAGGGATGCCAAATGCTATCATTTTTCTCTAAAGCAAATTTACCTTGCCTATGGGTATAAATAAAGTTACCTTGACCTATCTCAGTACAATTTTTCTATTTTTTCTATAAATATTCTATACATTGTTTCCAGTATAAATTAACTTTGGTTGCTTATGTTTATAGGACCACCGTGTGTCTACCTTTCATATTTTATTTTCCCTTGCTGTAAGAGCTCTGTAACACCGACATTTCTCATCGTGGGATAATAAAGGTTTATTCTATTCTATTCTATTCTATTCTATTCTATTCAATAAGAAGGAAATGCAGGAGGGACAGGTGAGGAGGCCATGCTGCTAGCGAGTCAGCTACGAGCAAAGCCTAAAGACACAGTGAGTGAATATTGTAAATATAGTTAGCAAGTGAATCAACAGTCTGTGCTTTGGATAAATGACATGAAGATTGCACTATTAAATAAGTTTTCATTAGATTGACTACACAGAGAAGATACACAGAAAAAAAACAAAACACAACTTTGTGTTATAAGATGAAGTGATACTGCAGAGAGAGACAACACTAAGACAACACTAGATACTATCCCTGCACATCTTTCCCAGGGTGAAAGGCAAGGTAATTTTACTTTGTTTATATAAAAGAAGCTGAGAATTCCCCAGTGAGTGCTAGCAGAAACTTATTTTTGTTATTACTGCTCCCAAGATATTAAAACTAACATCTGTCATGTCTCTCCATTTTTGAGAGTTTTTCCAACTGTAGTTTTTCAATACAACAGACACCTAGACAAAGGACACTTTTAGATTTTAATCAGTGGCTAACTGAATAAATAAAAATGTGTTTATGGTACTGTAAAAATATTTAAAACAGGTTTTTATCTTTACCCTACAAGTATCATGATCAGCTAGAAAAATGTACTGGGTAATAGAATAGAACAGAACAGAATTGAATAGAGTAGAATAGAATATACATGCAGGGAAAGTGTTTGTTAAGTGTCCGAATAGCCCAGGGGAAGAAGCTGTTTGTGAGTCTGGAGGCGTGAGACCTGATTGACCTGAGGCGCTGACCAGAGGGTAGCGAGTCAAACTGGTGGTGGGCGGGGTACAAGGGGGTCACCTGTGATGGTCCTGGTTTTCATGAGACAGGAGAATCGGGCGATAGTCACCAGGGGTGGCTCTTTAAGTAATGAAAAAGGAAGCAAAGATGGACCTGGAATTTCCCCTTAACAGCACTGGCATCTGGTTATCATGTCCATCACCATTAAAGGGAAAAGCAAGAAAAAATACCAAGTAACTCTTGGCTTTAATTCCTCATCTCTGCAGCTGTCACTGCATATGTAGACAAATATGTAATTCATGCTTATAGGAGGATTAAAAAAATATTATCAGTTTAATTCTGAAAACGTTTAGTGTTCCTTAATTGGCTGTACTTGTGAGAGTGACAGTGAATGGTTGTCTGTCTTAAATGGCATAAAGTGTAAGGAAAACTGATGTATTTATAAATATTATTAGGAGAATATCTTGGATCATTCTCTGCTAATAATGCATGCATCAGAAAATGCATCTTGATATTCCAGGGAGCAGGCAGGAACAGGTAACACTGACTTAAATTAAAACTTAAATAGATAAATACTTATATTGTATTTTTTAGACATACGTTACGCCCCACTTAAAAAACAAAGTGTTGACTGGGGTGGAGGGGTAACACAACATGAAAAAGAAAACATAAACTACTGGAAAATAGATGTCATTAAACAAGATTTATTGCAGAAAACTACTGAAGTAAAAATGAACACAGGGAAGCTCGTATCTTCAGGGTCTTAAGGCCAAAACAACAAACAAAACACCCCCTTTAACTAAAAAACAAGCCAAGAACACTCTAGCCGAAAACAAAATACAATGGCTGAGCTCCCTGTCTAGCCAAAAACAGGAGAAAATGATCGAAACAAAAATGGCAGAGAACCCCTACCTGCTTCCACTGTGATGAACCAATTAACACGGTAAGGGCACACCTTTGCTCACAATAAAAGAAAGAAAACCAAAGTTACACAGAGTTTAAATACATCCCCCACTTTAATTTTTAATTTAAAAAAATGAATAATAATTAATAATAATTGTTCAAGTATGCTGAGTGTCAGCTGAGGTTAAAAACACCTCATATACCGAGAATGTAAACTAGACTTGCACCAGGAAACAAAGCTTAACAAAGGGATTTAGCCCAACTTTGCTGTCACATTGCTTCTGCAGGTAAGATCATGATCCACAATCATTTTACTGGAGCAAATTATTTTTTAATAAAGTATGCTAACTTTGACTTGTATATAGGGATTTGATTCTGACTTTTAGAGCTCTTCATGGACACGCACCAGCTTACGTCACTGAACTTCTACAGCACTATGTCCCTAGCAGGTCCTCGAGGTCATGTGATCAGGGCTTACTTGTCATACAGCATACAAGGCTGGGAACTAAGGGACACAGATCTTTTGCCACTGTGGCCCCCAAGACTGTGGAACTCTCTCCCACTGAGGTTAAGATCTGTGGGCTCAGTAGTCTCTTTCAAGAAACAACTAAAAACACATCTTTTTAGAATTGCATTTCATTAGCTTTTTGTCTTTTTTTGTTTTATATCTTGTTATCTCTTTTTAAAGCACTTTGTAATCTTTTGTCTAGAAAGATGGATATAAAAAATATGTTACTTACTTTACTTACTTATGTTACCCCCATGAAACACTGGCAGTCTTAAATGGGATAAGCTGTAAGGAACTTGACAGATGTATTAATATTATTATTAGATCCAAGTCAAATCTTGGATCATTTTCTGATGGATGCATGCATCAGAAGAAGCATCTTTATTTTCCAGGAAACGGGCAGAAACAGGTAACACTGACTTATAGATAAATGCTTATATTGTTTTTTGGGACACAACAGAAATGCCTTTTCAATAATAATAATAATAATAATAATAATAATAATAATAATAATAATAATAACAATTAAACCCTTGTTCAAGTATGCTGAGTGTCAGCTGAGGTTAAGCACACCTCATATACTGATAGTGTGAACTAAACTTGCACCGGGAAACAAACCTTAACAAACCTGTAAAACCACACAACTCTTCTCTCAGGTCTTCACTTCAACTCCATCTTTCTAAATATGACGATGAAGCTAATGCTGCTGCTCCTTAGCTGTCACATTGCTTCTGCAGGTAAGTTCATGAACCAAAATCCTTTTACTGGGGCAAATTATGTTTTAGTAAAGTATGCTAACTTTGACATGTATATAGGAATTTAGCACAACTTAAAAAAAAAAAAAATCTCTCTTGCACTCTGACATCAGAACTAGTCAAACAGTTGTATAAATTATATTTATTCTGCACTCCTTGAAGGTTTAAATCACAATATCTACTGATGTAGCAAACATCCCAGCTACAATACATACATGCTGGGACTCACTCTGAACTTGTTACATTCGAGTTTGCGTGTCAGGTTCTTTGTGTTACAGCCAAAGAATTTGGCACATTGTATTGGACATAGGCAGGTATTGGCAAGCAGGCAAGTGAAGCACTTCATGCTTCAGTGGGTGAAAGCAGGAACAGATGCAACAATAGATAAGCGTTTAAACTAAGTACTGCCAACCCTAAAGATTTTTTCACATGTTAGAACAACAATAGTTATAACATTAAAGATAAAGAAAAGATTACCTTATTTTTATTGCTTCTTTTCTGCCATGGTTTAAGTGCAAGTAAGAAATGCATTCAAACATTCAAGCTCTAACAGAAATATAATCTGACCTCGAGCAGTGGTTTTACTTTTGCTTTATTTTATTGGGAGAGCCAAAACATTTTGGCTCTGATTTTCTGAAATAATTAGAATTTAAAAATTGGATAACACAAATGCATGTTTTATCAGTACTGTATTTTTTTTTCTTATTTAACCCTTAAGAGCCCAGACCTATTTCTACTTTCATGAAAATTACGGGGGTCTTATATCAAATGAATCATATATAACCAAGTCTCTAAGTGTAAAGGGGCAGTGACACCAGTGTCACTGTGGGTCCTTAAGGGTTAATGTACCATGTTATCAATGTTTGTTTCCCACAGTGAAACACTCACTGGTGTATTTTGTTACTGAATCCTCGGAAGTCCGAAACATCCCAGAGTTTATGGGAGTTGCAGAGGTTAAACGCATTGAGTTTGGTTATTGTGACAGCAGCAAAAAGATATTGGAAACAAGACAAGACTGGGTCCAAAAAACATTAAATAATGACATGGCTCAGTTGGATTCGTACAATGAACTTTGCTTTCAGATACTGCCATACGTCTTCAGAAAGTGGATTTCAAAATGGCAGCAGCTGGCCAGCCAAAGTGAAGGTGTAGTATTTTCTCTTATACTTTATGTCACATCATGTTGTTAGTCTCTAGTTATAGATTTTAAATTGTAATTTTGTGCATCTTGATTGTGACCATAAATCTTACTAATGTGAACATGCTTCAAACTGCATGACAAAAGAATATCTTGTTGCATTCACAATCATCCAGGTAAGTAAATCTCCAAAAGTTGATTCTGTTCATCTGGGCTGTTTATAAGAGGGGAAACCTGCAGCTGAGACTGAAGAAGTCACTTGGATGAGTGGCGAAACATTTCTCCCACTGAAAATGCTACGTTCAGATGAACAGAATCAACTTTTGGAGACAAAAGAATACATGTACACATTGTTCTAAATAGTTGCCTTACATTAATTGCATTAATTATTAGTGCCTGTAATTATTTTCTGGTTCTTACGGATACCCTAGATGGTTGAATTGTTTTTTTCCCTCTTGTCCTTCATCTTTTTCTTTTAATCATGGATTACGCCTGTTTTCTAATATAATGTTGTCAGATCAGAGTTAAATCACAAGAAGAACACAACAAAGATAGAATAGCAGTGCCTCACAGTATTAATATTATTCATTTTAATTAATTTCTAATTCACTTTTCAGCTGTCAACACTTTACAGATGATAGAAGGCTGTGAATGGGATGAAAACACTGGAGAGGTGAATGGTGTGATACAGTATGGTTATAATGCAGAAAACCTTCTTGAATTTGATCTTAAAACAATGAAATGGATTGCACTGAAACCAGAAGCTGACATTATCGAACATGACTGGAATGCTAATGGAAACTCAGCAGAAACAATCTTCCTCACTGAGACTTGTCCTGATTGGCTGAAGAAATATTTGAAAAATGGGAACAGCACCCTGCTGAGAAAAGGTAGAATCACATGAGTGTGTTTATTCCCTGCTTTGTTATCTTTCTATTAATGATCTTTAAAAAAAAAAACGGCAACGTGTGTTAACGTGTTTATACAGATCATAATGAAAACTAGTGGTGAAAACTGGGAAGTAAAGCTGCAGATGACACACAAGGAAAATAAATTATCAAAATAAATCCACTGATTCATTTTCTGCCTCTTATTCTGGTCCAGGTTATGGGGGCAGCAGTCTAAACCAGGGAGTAGCAGGTCTACTCTGACCCCATACATACTAAACTCCTCCCCCCTTAGGTACAATTTTCCACCATTTGTACCCACAATAACACTCTTTCAGTCACTACCTTGAGTTCATGTATACCCATATACACACACACCTTCATTTACATTACACAAACAAATAAAACAAAATCTAAATAACATGAAATAGTCCCTCAGTCATCAGTGTCAAGGCTAATGGAACGATGGACCCAGACACAGACTTGGAAAATTTCACTTTAGTTGTGTTTATTTACAGTGGTCCAAACTAAGTACAAAAGGTATTAGTGGAATTGAGGGGATCAAGGAAGGAAGGGTTTCCAGGCATCCAATATGTACAGATCTCACACTCACAGTTAGGCAAGGTACCTGTGCACAATAAACAGAGTGAAAAGTGAAACTTTTGCTCAAATTGCTTGTTCCATTTTAAATAATTACTTTTTTATTACTATTACAGTCTATCTTGATTAACATTTTTCATCAAACAAGTGTACTAAATTTACTTCTTCTTTGATGTATACTGCTTTGCTTCTTTCACCGATTCTCACACCTTCTCTTTCCCACATTCCCTCTCTCCAGTTTTTCCTTCCATTTCTCTCCTCTGGAAGACTCCCTCCTCTCCAGTCAGCTGCCACGCTACAGGTTTCTACCCTCAAAGGGCCATGATGTTCTGGAGGAAAGATGGAGTGGAGATCCATGAAGGTGTGGATCCTGGAGAGATCCTGCCCAACAATGATGGGACCTTCCAGATGAGTGTTGGCCTGAATGTTTCATCAGTCACACCTGGGGAGTGGAAAAGATATGAGTGTGTGTTTCAGTTTTCTAACGCTGAGGACAGCATCATTACCAACCTGAATAAAACCGTCAACTGGCGAAAAAACAAATTTAGACATGATCCAAGTAAGATAAACAGATTTGAGTTATTTTGTTTGTTGTTATTGTGGATTGTGTTTAATGTTACGCTTAAATGTTTTATCGGGTCCCAAGAAGAGCTGCTGTTACTGTGGGAATTACTGATGGAGATCCTAAAAAAATATATTTTTTCCAGCACTTTGACAAAACTGATGTTTATATTCTTAAGAAAACCATCAAGCTGAAATTAGTTTAGTACTTCTATGTTTCAAATTCAGCATCTGCAGTCTATGAAAGCCTTGGTTGTTTATTTGTGGCCCATTTAGGAGCATTTTGTTTGGTGAAAAACAGCTCATGTAAATGGGTTAAAAAGTCAGTGACATGAATTATGGTGTGTCTGTTAAGCACTGTATACTGCTGCATTTGTGGTTACATCAGTCGAGTTGACATAGATATCATACCATATTTAAATCCAATATGTGACATATGTTAGCAACAAAGTATTCACACTAAAGAATGCATGGAATCATCATCATCATCATGAGTGGGATTTTAAATATAGAGATTATGCCATAAGGGAAGGGAAGCAATGCCAGGTTTATTCAAACTGTTCTATCATGGTGCATTTGGGAAGAGAAACTGAGTAATCTGGAAAGAAGAGCATGTGAAGAGTGTTCTGGAGCTGAAGAGAGTATCAGACAGGATCATGAGTTTGAAGCTGGAACTCAAAGACGTAATGCTGAATGTTGTCAGTGTGTACGGCCCACAGATTTGGATATTAGTTAGAAGAAAAAAAGGAATTCTAGAGAAAGTTGGTTCAAGACGGTGCAGACAGTGAAGCTGTGATGCAAGGAGTAGATGTAGTAAAGTACTTGGGGTCAATAATTTCAAAGCAAAGGGCAGTGCAGAGACCTGCTACAATGTTTGGTTTGGAGACGATAGCAGAGGAGGATGTTAGGTACAGGCTGAGAAGGAGGCAGATGATCCGCTGTGGTGACCTCGAAAGGGAACAATTTAAATTAGATTTTTTTGATCATGTTGACTGTGTGGCTTCATGATCAAACAACTTAAATTGTCAAAAAAAATATTTTCAATAATTGGATGCAGTTTTATTCCATCTTGTTTATCAGTACATTTTATCTTGATTGTTTTCACTGAGCAGAAATCCTCATCATTGCTGCAGTGGTTGTTCTTGTTGTCATCATCGTTGCTGTTACTGTAATTGCCTTTCACAAAATGAAAGAAGGTAAGAGATTTAAAGTTTATCGATCAGTCAGTAGAGACATAAATGCTTAATTTCATTATCTCTGCAATATAATAGTCTACATGTTAAACATTGTTACTTCTTTGTGAGAGAAAGTTTGATTGTTAGGCATTTAAAACTGTCCAAAATGAATTTTATTGATTTATTTAATTTATTTTAGGCAGATGCCCTACCTCTTGTAAGTACACTATTCCCCCTCTAATCTGGTATTCTCACTCTGGATTTAAATTATTTGATTAATATTGTGCTAATTTTATTTATTGTTAACTTTATTGTTATTATTATTTGGACTTTTGGATGTAACAGCTCCTCACAACATGATAGAACTCTCCGAAAGACCACATAGACAGACAGAGGAGTCTACACAGTGTTAACACCTCCAGTTAACACTGTGAACAAACAAGAACCGAGAAGATTTTCTATTTCAGTTTTGTTTTATGTAAACATGACTTTTTACACAAAATCTTTTTTTTCCTTTGTTATTGTTTTAAATTCAAGTTAACTTGTAATAACTCAGGTAAAATGCATTTTATTATTTTATCATATCATATTTCCTATAGCACTGCTATAGCTATTAATGATATTGTGTATATATAATTTGTATGGTGTATTTATCCTGATGATCAGGTGGTGGGGGAGAATGCTGGACAGACATGTTCCTTGGTGGGGGTGTCGTTGATTGAGAAAAAATGAGTAGACACATGAATATGTTCCTTCACACCGTTTTTTAAGAATCTTTTTCATTTTGTAGGTTATTTTGAATGTGTTAAAATAACATTCGGTAAAATAATATAAGAATTAGATTCCTCAGCCCTGATGCAGTCAAAAATTAAGCAAAAGGCCTGAAATCCAGCCTTTGGGGGTGTAATGTAGCACAGAGTGACAGAGTTATATGTAAGTGCTTTTGCTGATAGTTATTTCTGCTCTAATCACATCAGAAATGTAATCAAAATATAATCAAGAATTAATAAAGTCGAACAAGAAAATTATCACTACAATAAAATAATTCTAATAACCTTTCAAACCAGACTTTCTCTGTGTGTGTACTGCACAACGTTTACGCATGTAACAACAAGGTGTCGGTTATTGTGATCGATTACAAAATTGGATTCTTGAGATTTGATCTTCTCACTCAACCCACCTTGGATTAGGACTTACTATAGGTGTTTAGCAACAGTTTAGATTTAGTTATTCTACATTTTACAAAGTTTTACTTTTCTTTAAATTTTGAAATTATTTGATTATGTGATTATTGTTAGCTGTTTGAGCTCTTTGGTTTGCCCTTGCTAAATTGCTTAATACAGTATCGTGATCTGCAATTGAAGTTTTAGGATTCTTAAAACTTGGGTATGAGTATTAATATCTACTTTTGTAAAATTCTTTTAGGTTATTCTTGCCTTTCAAAATTAACAGATTCCTGATTAACAGGCTTATTTTTCAGGCACTAAAGTAAATCCCAGCAAATTCCCAAGTGCCAATAATGTGGCTGTTGATTGCCACTTACTCAGGGTTGCTAGTGGAGGGCATCATCTAGTGGACTGCGGGGTAGGCATTCAGGTGGCGATAGAACTGGGTGAAACCCTTCATCACCAGCTTAAATTAATTTCTGTTAACCTACTGTGGCAATACCCCTAGGATAAGTGATTCAGACCATTTCAATGGAGACTTCTGGTCCAGACTTCTGTATAGAGGTAACTGGGATCTTCATAATGCCCAATAGTCAAGCAGTTAAAGTAGCACTATTCAGTACAGACACTGGAAGATCACCCTGCCGATAC